AGTCTTATAGACCCCAATGTGAGTCAGTGAGTGCCAGTCTTATTGACCCTAATGTGAGTCAGTAAGTGCCAGTCTTATAGACCCCAATGTCAGTGAGTGCCAGTCTTATTGACCCCAATTTGAGTCAGTGAGTGCCAGTCTTATAGACCCCAATGTGAGTCAGTGAGTGACAGTCTTATAGACCCCAATGTGAGTCAGTGAGTGCCAGTCTTATAGACCCAAATTTGAGTCAGTAAGTGTCAGTCTTATAGACCCTAATCTGAGTCAGTAAATGCCAGTATTATAGACCCAAATTTGAGTCAGTGAGTGCCAATCTTATAGACCCCAATCTAAGTCAGTGAGTGCCAGTCTTATAGACCCCAATGTGAGTCAGTGAGTGCCAATCTTATAGACCCCAATGTGAGTCAGTGAGTGCCAGTCTTATAGACCCCAATGTGAGTCAGTGAGTGCCAGTCTTATAGACCCCAGTCTGAGTCAGTGAGTGCCAGTCATATAGACCCCAATCTGAGTCAGTGTGTGCCAGTCTTATAGACCCCAATCTGAGTCAGTGAGTGCCAGTCTTATAGACCCCAATCTGAGTCTGTGAGTGCCAATCTTATAGACCCCAATCTGAGCCAGTGAGTGCCAGTCATATAGACCCCAGTCTGAGTCAGTGTGTGCCAGTATTATAGACCCAAATTTGAGTCAGTGAGTGCCAATCTTATAGACCCCAATCTAAGTCAGTGAGTGCCAGTCTTATAGACCCCAATGTGAGTCAGTGAGTGTCAGTCTTATAGACCCCAGTCTGAGTCAGTGAGTGCCAAGCTTATAGACCCCAATGTGAGTCAGTGAGTTCCAGTCTTATAGACCCCAATGTGAGTCAGTGAGTGCCAGTCTTATAGACCCCAATCTGAGTCAGTGAGTGCCAGTCTTATAGACCCCAATCTGAGTCAGTTGGTGCCAATCTTATAGATCCCAGTCTGAGTCAGTGAGTGCCAATCTTATAGACCCCAATCTGAGATATACCTCAATCACAGAAGGGAATAATGTTAAAGAATCCTTGTGCGTGCGTGCGTGTTTGCGTGTGTGCGTGTGTGTGTGCGTGTGTATGCGACAAGAGCAGCGACTCCATCGTCACTTTATTAAGGACAAATAAGGAATCCCACCGATGTAACACTTCAAACTTAACAACGTCCACTCACTAATCACAATCATACACAACTTATAGTTAATATAATTGTTTATTCCACTCCGTTAGGAACAAGGAATAAAAACATACATCTTAAAATTAGTATAATTTATTGACACTGATATGATGTAAATCACTTCTAAATGTTTAACTAAAGTGTATACAATGACCCTTTCTGCATATCGGATGTGAACTTGGTAAATATAAAGAGGTTAGAAAAGAACAGAGGTAAGCCTTCCATCCCTTGCATATTGAGCATTGGTCATTTGGTTCATCAGGATAAAGTTTGGACATCATAGTATTCCTATTTACTATGAGTCCTCATTTTTTCGGACACGTCCTCATTTTACGAATCAGTCGGAGCGTGCTAAAAAATTTCGGAACATCCCCAGATTTGTCCACAGTTTTTACAAGCCTGTCGGCTCTGTGGCTAAGTCGATGCTAACGCTTCGTAATGCCGGGGTGCCGGTTTCGAATCCAGATGCGGGCCATGCGCCTTGCGTTGATTTCGACAGTGGTATCAAGAAAGCCGACTTTCCAGAACACAATGGCAAACTATTGGACGTTAATTTGCCTAGAAAAATCAAACAACAGGCAGGGGCTGTTGGGGTTGGTTTTGCTACGTCCAGTAATGGATACGTAACTAACCTTGTACAAGCCTACAAGCCCAGATATAATTAACACTCTGTCAGCGATATCACGTGGTCAACCAGGGCTGCCGAAATTTTTTGGGGGAATAGTTACTATTGTTTTGAAAAGATCCCAAAACACACCAAAATGTGTCATATTTTAAACTGTTCATTTAACACCTTTAAACATTTTTAAACACACACAAACATATATTTGATTGATTGTCAAATATCCCTCTTTCCAGACGATGGTATTATACTGTTCATGATGAGGCATGGGACTCGCAGCCTTTGGCGATTACGAGTGTAACTAGCACAACCTTGTGGTGTTCTTTGGACAACAGGATTATTAGAGCTGATGCTCCCAACCTCAACATAAATGGCAGGAACATCAAAAGAGACAGCAGACTGCGGGATATGGGAATCACCTTTGACACGTCCAAGGGTCACATATAGAAGGTTGTGACAAAGGCTTTAAAATGTTTCAGTGCACACACAATTATGGCAGGAATAGACATGGAGCAGAGAATGCTATCCACAATTTATTAGCACTTAATACTCTCAGTGACTGAATCTGGTCTGGGGTTACTCACTGTCTCGAATAGTCAGCTAGAGAAACTAGAGCGCATACAGAATGAAGCTTTGATCCTGTGACGTACAAAAGACACCCTGATTGTGTGCATGTGATGCATCCTTGCATTGCCGACTACTGCAGTAGGCTAAAAGTGTTGCAGGCTAAGGCATACCCCAGAGTAGCTGCAGACAAAGAGCACCCTTTGTATGAAGTTTGGCTGTAGTTAAGAGTCAGAGGCTGAAAAAGGAAAAATAGTGGATGGCTCAAGTAGAAGACACAATACTGCAAGTATGCATGCTGGAGAACATTAGGCGAAGACAGGAGTGAGTCAGATACCTGAGGAATAATCTGACCTTTGTAGGTTCATGATCACATTGGGAGTGCAGAGAGTGACCAGAGGGCACTATGGAGGTGGAAGAGTTTATTCACGACAATTCTCATCCAGATGATCTGATTATCCACACAGATGGTTCTGTGTTGAGGAGGAAGAGAAATGCCAGGGAGTTCGTAGCAAAAGTCAATGGAAAATCTTTACTGAAGGATAGTCTAGCATGCGATACCACAACATCTAGCATAAGAATTGAGGTGGGGACGGTCACTGCAGCTTTCCGGTGGCTAAAGAACAACATGTATACACATGTCGTAATTTTAACAGACTCTGAAGCCATGCTGAGAAAGATAAAGACAGGGATGCTTCGAGCAGAGTGGCAAGCTTCACTGGAACGGTCACTGGTAGTGAGCATACTTTGAATCTTTTCTCCAGGCCATGCCGGCGTGGAGGGAATAAACAGGCCGACAGACTGGCTGGATCTGGACCACTGGATGGTGAACTGATACAGGACAAGGCAGATGTGGTCAAAGCCCTTTGGGAACAAGCAACGAAGTCAAAAGAGAAACAAGATTATTATGACCTGCAAATAATGAGGCACTAAACACATTATGTATCTCAAAGCAATGTTTTCATTTTGTAAATCTGGGGAAAAAACCTAAGGCACGTGCGCACGCACCCATGCACACACACACACACACACACACACACACACACACACACAATGCATAATTGATTATCTAGCACATTCTGCTGTTTACTTGGCTATGACATGTCCCTTGCCCTGTAAAATATGCGGTTATTCTTTGGGGCATGACTGTTTGTGTATTTCAGTTGTGAAGGATTCATTTATTTGCCTAACTGAATTTATTCAAACTAGGGCTGTACCGAATAGTGGTTTTCACTATTCGGCCGAATACGAATAGTGGGACCAACGATTCGGCCGAATACAAATACGAATACGAATAGTGTATCATCATCATCAGGTGCCTCGCCGACTGGTGTGGCGATTTTGCCTCGCCACAATCTGCGATCTCCTGCAGCATGTATCAGTTTGTGTGCTGACACACCTCCATGACATGCAACGACTGTCAAGAATCTTCTCTCGTTGTCTTTTTCTATCTCTCCTTCCACAAATCTTTCCAGTGGTTACCAAATGTTCCATTTTCACTCTTTCTATATGATGACTGTCTTCTTCTGATGTCTGGGATTAGTTGTCTTCGGGCTCCCGCCTCTTTCAAAACCTAGTGGTTGCTTTTTTTTAAGCTGTCCAAGGTATTTTAAGCATTGTTCTGTAAAACCACATCTCTGAGGCCTCAAAAAATTGTTTGGCCTGGCTACCGATTGTCCAGAACTCATAGCCATATGTTAAAACTAGATGTATGTAGCAAGCAAGACAACGCTATATTGCACAAGATGTTCTTTTTTGTTAAATATAAAATGCATTTTTAGCCTGTCCTATTTTGTTTTTTAGTAATGCATCTTTAATCTGACTTTATCCATGTGCCAATTTCGCATTTAAACCATTTTTCGTTCAGGCGTTCGTTCAATGTAATTTAAACGCACATTCATATTCTCGTTTGCAATATCTTCAATTTGATTTGGGAAAAGACACCCCGAAAGAACCAAAAAATGCATGCTTTCTCTCTCTCTCTCTCTCTCTCTCTCTCTCTCTCTCTCTCTCTCTCACACACACACACACACACACACACACACACACACACAGATACACTTTCAAGTTTCTTCATGCCTTCTTTAACACAACAGTAGCGATGCCTAAATCTTTCGTAGCGGGAAAAACGGCGACCCGTTTGCGTGGTAACAGCGCCTGACTCCGAGGCATTACATCAGAGGTTCTAAAACTGGGTGCGCATGACAGGGGTGCCGCGGCGAAAATCAAGAAAAGTCGGCTATAAATTGTGACATTATTAATGAGAGAGTTATTTTAGTCCATCGCAGTGTATGCAGAAATCACTATTCGTATTCGGCCCGACCGCCACAATTCGGCCGAATACCGAATAGCTAGTAGGTCCACTATTCGGCCCCGAAGCGAATACGAAGCGAATATTCGGTACAGCCCTAATTCAAACGTTACTTTAGTATGCACCTAGTGAAACGCGGCGCTGTATAGCAGGCGATAAGTTGTGGTTTTTTTTTTTTTTTTTTTTTGTTCTTCTGTAAAATTATATGTATCTCATTTTTTTTTCAGTCTTCCTTGCCTGATCTTTGTATCCGTTACGAATCTCTTAATTGTTTTTTTTTTTTTTTTTTGTAAACCAAAGACAGACAGGAGAAGCGCCTTTACTCCTGGGCAGGATCAACGCTGATATCATCTATTCCTTCATACTTCCGGACAAAGTCGGCCTGATGCTCTTCGAAAATCTCCTTCATGTTGTCCTCTGACATCATCAGGTCGATGCCCGTCATGGCCAGGGCCTTACCTTGGAGGATGCTCATGAACTGGCATTCCTTCGAACCTGCGCCAACAGAACGAGTCAGAGAGCACGTCAGTGTCAACTGCACATAACACACACAGTTTTCTGTGTGTTCATAATTATTTAAGAACCTATGGACTATCGGGGACGGTTAGAAATGTTGTCAAAGCCGAGTGGATGGACTCTGCTGCTCTAGGTTATCCCAGATGGTTTGGCCTCTCTACACAGAAAGGGCTAGATGCTCTACCGAGAGCGTCACGTAAAAAACGAACTCACTAGTTCAATTGACTATCCAGAGGGGTCTCCTATGACTGGACCACACCGCCACGGTGACCCCAGATTAGTAGAATGGTCTGATATATGGGAAGCTTCAGTATAGTGGCCTTATATGACAATCTTGATAAGATCATGCACAGATTTGAAAATTAAAAAAAAAAAAAAAATGCCATGAAGATGTCTTGAAATGAATAAGTTAACGGGCAAAGACAAATGGTTGGGTGTATCAGAATAGGACAATGCATGTTATTTCAACGCCCGATGAAAAATTTGAAAATTTGAGTACTTCGTTACTTGCTACTAGTTATCCGTATCGACATCCTAGCACATCGATCCGACCCATTCGTACTCCGTCTTCTGATGCAACAGCCACCTCAGTGTCTCCATGCTCATCATAGCCAGTAGAAGCTGACTGGCATATCTTCTTTCTTTACCCTCGCTACCGGTTTCTGCATCCTTGTCCTCGTTTAACTCTTTGAGTCCCAGGGGGTTTAGCATCACAGGCCCAGGGGGTAGTAAAGAAAGTAATAAAATCAGCGCATCATGCGTTCACTGGGTTTCTAGGTAGGAACCTATTAACGTATGATGCGTTCTTTGAGACTCAAAGAGTTAATGCGTATTTCCAGCAGCACGATTCATCGTCTCTGACAGTATTTCGCGGCAACAGAAAAGTTGGAGGAAAAAGAGGTGAGAGGAGATCAAGAGAAACAAATATTGGACAGACTAGCTTCATGTGGTGGAGGAATATCTGTATAAAGAATAATTGCATAGGCAGTACATGTGGCAGAAAGTTGTGCACTAACACGACGAACAATGCCACACGGCGTGGACTTCACTTGGACATCTGAACAACGAAGGACGGTCCATAACTACCATTAAGTGCAACAGAAACAACGCTTTTCCATTGTGAGCCTGGTGTGTTTCCAAGACTGTTGGTTTGTGAAATCGACAAAATGTTTTCATGTCAAGAAAGTCGCTCTCCTGTCCAAGAGAAAACGAGTTCGAATCCGCATCGATGCATTTTTGTTACTGTAAATGGACCTTGGCTATTGTGTAGTCCCAGCATAGTTTGGGTAATGTCCCGGAAAGTAAAAGCGGCCGCTCTGATGTTGACCATATCAAATACGAAATGCCGATTAGTTTGTATAACAAATATAGGGAGCCGTGTTAGTGCAGTCGATAAGATGCTCGCTTTCAAATCCAGCTGCTACGGTCGGTGTTCGAAACAGTACGGTTCCAGGTGTTCACCCAGCCTCTAGGAAATGGGTACCAGAGTGACACTCGGGGGTAAATAGAGGAACGTCGCTGTTGCTACGGAGTTACGTGAGGACGGCGATACAGGAGGACATTTTCTTATCAGCTGTCCGTACTGGTGGCAGATCACTTATGGTTTATAACCGTGTGCAATGACGCTGGTTCACATCTCCCGACTTTACCTTTATGGACTAAAAAAAAAGGGATCTTTTAGTTGCTTTCACTTTTCTAATCAAGATTGATTTGCTTGATTGATTTGATTCAAGATCCGACAGCACTCGGGGCATTCCCATAAGAGCTCCGTCCCCATCTTCAGCAGCCGGCGAAGAGGTCCGATGCTAATGGTGCCAGTAGCAGTCTGATTAAACGTCCGACTTGCCTTTCCTCTGAGCCTCGAGCATCTGCCAGAACCTCTCATCACTCCCCACTGCATCAGTCTCCCCAGACTGTGGTGATCCATCTGCTCCTCCGAACTGTTTCGCTCTCCCACAAGGCACTAACCACGTCTGCCTTATCATGTATCAGTACTCCACCGAAACAATTGCACCTTTTTATTCTAATCAAGAGAGCAAACCTAGTCCAAATCTCGGCAGTGGCGCGGGTTTTCCTGTCGGACAGTACCGCTCTAAGGTCGGCCTAACAAGATACAAACGGATACCAGATCAATTTTCTGGAGAAAAGAGCAATGAGAAACATAAGTGGCTAGTGCACCATTCTGTGCCACAGCCCTAATATATGAAGGTCTTCAGGACTTTGATACCTAAATGGCAGCAACTACCACAGAATTACATAAAATCCCTAACCCCACGCGACACATTTCTGCTTAACCAGACAATAGTGTACTACATTGCGCGAAGAAAAACTTGTGAAGTACGTTGATGCCTTCTCCGAAGTCTAAATACCAAACGCTGTTACCAACGCCTCGAGGAAACAGTCAGCTGTACTTTAGAGTGGCTGCTGCATCGGAGGACTGAGTATCCAAAGAAATGCTCAATGGGCAGTGACGTCGACTGTGATAATATAAACCTAACATAATATATTGTGCTATAAGAAGACATGGGAATTATGGTTTTTCTTCAAGGGGGAGAACATCCAGAAGTTAATTCAGATAAGAAAAGAGCTTGACATTTCTTAGATGAAACTGAATGGAATGTCAGTATTGGCAACATTGATATAGAGAAACATCATTAAACTAACAGCAAGCTAATATTATGGAAACATGCCTACTGTCAAATTTTTTTTCTCTACTAGTTATTCCCTCATAATATTACCTTTTCCTTTTCTACTCAACCCTAGTCTATTTATTACAATTATACCACTCGATTTACGTATCGAAAGTAGCAAAAAGGACGTTCACTGCATGCTTAAGCCACTGATTCAGCAACTATGTTGAAGCTACCAGTTACTAATCCTTACAATGCGCTCGCATATTCTGCATTTGTGTCTGCACATCTGTCCTTTTTCTTTATTTGTCTGATTGTCTGCGTGTGAGTCCGCTCGTGAAATAAATACAGACCTGTCTAAATCTTACCAGCAAATCTAGCAAACTCTTCGGTTCCCAGGATTGCCGGCGTAGCAGCGTAATAGAAGACCTTGAGGGTGGGGATGGCAGTACTCACGTTTGCGATGTCATCCTCGTCCTAGGACAATTCAACAACGGTTCACTGTTATTATAAGTTCAAACAACGGATCAACATCATAGCACAAGGGTAGTAACGCGTAACTGCTCCGTTCTACTTCCAACTCAAGCCCGAGTCTGAAGAATCTCAGCGCAGTGAACGAACTCCGTAGAACCGGCGAGAATCTTTAAACACTTTTGGGTAGATTTTTAACTCAAAATTTCGACCAGGGAGAGCCGTTAGGCTACTGCTTTCGATTTCCAACTGCGCAACACTACACACGGGCGTCCGATCTTTACTACACAGAGAGGAAATTACTAGAGGTTCACTTTTAAAAAAATCCCTGCCTTCATCTGGGCCTGAACCCGGGACCTCCAGCACTCGAGGCGGACGCTATGCCTCGTGACTGCTTAGTTTACTGTTATAATTCACACCTGTCTACAGACGTGTTTGTCTTTGTGTTGCCGAGTTTAAGCGAGTCTAGAAGAAGTGTCAGTTTGTCTGGTCCTCTTCCTTCGTCGTTTCTGTTACATACTTGATAGAGTTTAATAACGAATTAAAGCAGTGGTTTTTAACCTGCCGGTCGCGACCATTTTGGGGTGGGGGGTCGATGTCGAACGACCCTTTTAAAGGAGTCGCCTAAGACAATAGGAAAACACACATTTACTGAAGTTATGAAGGAAAACAATTGTTTGGGGTCGCCACAACGTGAGGGAACTGTATTAAAGGGTCGCGGTTTTAGGAAGGTTGAGTACAACTGAATTAAAGGGTCGCGGTTTTAGGAAGGTTGAGTCCCACTGAATTAAAGGGTCGCGGTTTTAGTAGGGATGAGTACCACTGAATTAAAGGGTCGCGGTTTTAGTAGGGATGAGTACCACTGAATTAAAGGGTCGCGGTTTTAGTAGGGATGAGTACCACTGAATTAAAGGGTCGCGGTTTTAGGAAGGATGAGTCCCACTGAATTAAAGGGTCGCGGTTTTAGGAAGGATGAGTACCACTGAATTAAAGGGTCGCGGTTTTAGGAAGGATGAGTACCACTGAATTAAAGGGTCGCGGTTTTAGGAAGGATGAGTCCCACTGAATTAAAGAAAGCGTGGTCCCTATCACTCGGGATGGATGAACAACAACATATATATTTGAGTTACATATCGCTTTCAGTAGGACCATCTGTCCACATGTGGCTCCCATGCCAGTGTGGCTTCTCTGTCAGTGTGGCTTCCCTGTCAGTGTGGCTTCCCTGTCAGTGTGGCTTCCCTGTCAGTGTGGCTTCCCTGTCAGTGTGAGTGAGTCAGAGACAGTTAACTCCCACCAGGACTGCACAAGGAGCTATTAACACCCGTTGACACAAAGGGTCTCCATTCGGATGACAAATCCCACAGGCGACAAGTCCCAGAAACCCCGTTTAACCGTAAAGTTATACTGGGGCCCCGACAACGGATACGATTATCTAAGCCCACGGGGTGGGTGGGGGGGGGGGGGGAACTTTAATATTGAATAAATTTCCCAAACACGTGTAAGCATACTAGATACGCAAAGTCGATGTCATTACATATAACAAATTTATTAAATACATAAAGAAAACTTTGTGTAAATTAAAAGGTGACTGCACATCCTCCATCCCTACCCTCCCTGAAGATGTCTGACTGAAACCCAGAAACCGCGTTCAGCCTTTAGGCCATATTTATGGCCAGGCTATATTGCGGCCCCTGGCAAGAGCCAGAGTAGGGTTTCAAACAACGAAAAATTTCATCCTAAAAAGGACGGGAATTACAAGTAAGTTGGCCCTGTAGATGTCGCCGACTGACTGACTCTCTACCGCGCCAGGACATCACACAACCGATAAACACCCGATGACACAAAGTGCCACCATGTGGATGAGGATCGCCGTGGAGAGGTCCCAGAAACCGCGTTCAGACAAATGGCCATATTTATGGCTTGCCTATATTGCGGCCCCTGGCAAAGCCAGGGTGGGGCTTCAAATAACAAAAAAATGCATCCTAAAAAGGGCGAAATTGGATTACCAACCCTGTAGATGTGACAACAATGAGATGGCAATACCTCAGTCGGGATGGCAAGTCAAAAGGGCAAATTCCAGAAACCGTTCAGTCTTTGGATTAGTTATAAATTGGGCACATGTAATGGTTACAGCAGTCTGGCAACCTGCAGTCATGTGTGTGTATGGACTGATAACAGAACCTAAAATCACAAACAACAAGAAAGGATAATAAATAAAAAAAACAGCAGAGTTAGCTAACTGTTCAAAGGGAGATAACACGTTAAATTCAAAACCTTGATAATTTATGTCCCTTAGAGCTTAGAATTAGGTAAGGAAAAATCAGACTGCACCGAACACAAGGCCATGGGTGTCGTGACATGGCATTACCTGTGTAGGTTTTGGGGCCCTATGTTAATGGAGGGTGGGAGGCGGAGACTAGACCCTCTGTCCCCATAACAAAAAAGTATTAAAAGCAACTATTTAGGGGATTTGCTGAAATCGAAAGTGTTTGACCTAAAGGCGGAGATATCACAGCCCAGCTGTAAACTCGAGGCTGAATTCTCCTGGCGTAAAATTTCCAAAGACAGTGGGAGTACTGTAGCTAACCTTTTTTTCTGAGAAGCGACACAATTTTCTATACAGCCGTTACAGATCCAAAGGAGAGTGTAAGGGCAACAGTGAGAGAGGCTAACCTCCATGTCTTTCTTGACGTTATGAAATGTGAATCCCATGAGTGCGGCGTTGCGCTGGTACAGCTCTGACAGGCGGTTGCTGGTGACGTTCACGAGAAACTCCCGCACTGCAGGCTCCACCTCAAACTGTAACAAGTACAGGTTTAGTCAGCACAGCAATCGGTCAAGTACTGCAAGTACGAGTACAGTCAGCAGAACGATTGGTCAAGTACTGCAAGTGCGAGTACAGTCAGCAGAACGATTGGTCAAGTACTGTAAGTACTAGTACAGTCAGCAGAACGATTGGTCAAGTACTGTAAGTACGAGTACAGTCAGCAGAACGATTGGTCAAGTACTGCAAGTACGAGTACAGTCAGCAGAACGATTGGTCAAGTACTGCAAGTACGAGTACAGTCAACAGAACGATTGGTCAAGTACTGCAAGTACGAGTACAGTCAGCACAGCAATCGGTCAAGTACTGCAAGTACAGATATAGTCAGCAGAGCAAGCAGAAATACAGCAAGGTAAAACAGAGCAAGTAACGGGTACAGCAAGTAACAAGTACAGCAAGTAACAAGTACAGCAAGTAACAGGTACATCAAGTAACAAGCACAGTACGTAACAGGTAGAGCAATTAAGAAGTACAGCACTTAACAGGAAAAACGAGTAACAGGTACAGCAAGTAACAGGTACATCATGTAAGAAATACAGCAGGTAACCAGTACAGCAACTAACAGGTACAACAAGTAACAAGTCTCAAAATAGAAATTACTGGGACTCAATTTGTCTCCTTCCACTTCTCTCTGTCTCTCTATCGCTCTCTCTCTCTCTCTCTCTCTCTCTTCTCTCTCTCTCTCTCTCTCTCTCTCTCTGTCTGTCTCTCCCTGTTTGTCTCTCTCTACCTCTCTCTCTCTACCTTTCTGTCTGTCTGTCTCTGTCTCTGTCTCTCTCTCTCTCTCTCTCTCTCTCTGTCTCTCTCTCTCTCTCTCTCTCTCTCTCTCTCTCTCTCTCTTTATTTCTCTGTTGATTAATTTTATTTCACTATCATAAAAACTTTAAAATCTTGTCTAGTTTTAATGTTTCCTAAAAGTTTAATTTCCCTGCAGGATTGCAGTATGTAAAATTAAGAACTCAAGGATGAGAATCAAACAGGTACCAATCCCGGAAACCTTCTTCAGCTGTGCAGCTATAGAGCATAATTATACTGGGGCACCACAAAACGGTGACCAAGTAACCTGTAACCCGGTCTTACAACGTGTACCACGACACCAATCCCGATCTATGACCTATCAAACTACGGCACTACCACCGTATGAACTGCCAATCTTTCCCAATGTGAAACGCAACTGTTTTTTTTTTTTAAAGCCCACTCCGGTTGTCGTTTGACTCAAACCTCTGATCTGCCCTGAAGGTACCTGGCTCGTTGTACGGGCCCGTGACAATCTACCCACATACACACCAAACCGAACACCCACAAAGCACACAGAGTAGTATTTAATGTAAATAACAGACTAACATGAGACAGCTGACATCAGGAGATGTGGGTACCCTTACCCGAAACGAAGGTCGTGATGGCTTTACAAATCACCATACACGCTTTCTCGTCCCCACGGATAACACTCAGATCCAAACCCACACTGCTCCTAATAAGCTCTTTTCTTAAGCCACTGGACTCCGCCAGGATCGCGCAGTGACTGCAGAGTTTGGGGGACAGTGTGCAGGGATAGACAATATCACAACAGCCAGACTAAGACCGACCCTGGCTATCAGAATATCTCAACACCAATTACATTATAAAAAAACACTGTCGCGTTAAGTGCTACAAAACACAGAGGCGGGGGGAAGGGGGGGGGGGGGGTTGATACTCTCTCGTTATCACAAGCTATCGGTAAGTAAATATCAATAAAACACGCTAAGATTATAAACCGTTACCCTATTAGAGGTCACCTGTCTAACCTCCGATGTCCGACTCCACTTTGTCCAATCTCCTCTGTGACGTTTTGTCATAGGCCCACAGCTTACCCCAAGTCCATGCAGGACTCGTGGATGCGCAAGCGAAATTTTCAACTTAGTCATGCTTTATCGCTGTTATAAATTCATCGGTCTGAACTGTGGTTCCCCTATCGGTCATCGAGTAGACACACTGACCGTCAGGATCCATCACCTATCTGTCTTGCCCATACAAACAATGGACTGTCTCTATTCTACACCGTCCCATAACTGCACACACCAGACTCTGACATCGTCGGGGACTCTAAGCAGAACCTACAAGTTGAACAGGTATCTCGCCTGAATGGTGGCTACTGTGTGTTTATCGCTGGCTGTGCGGTCCTGGTGGGGCTGAACGTCACTCACTCACTCACTCACTCACTCACTCACTCACTCACTCACTCACTCACTCACTCACTCACTCACTCACTCACTCACTCACTCACTCACTCACTCACTCACTCACTCACTCACTCACTCACTCACTCACTCACTCACTCACTCACTCACTCACTCACTCACTCACTCACTCACTCACTCACTCACTCACTCACTCACTCACTCACTCACTCACTCACTCACTCACTCACTCACTCACTCACTCACTCACTCACTCACTCACTCACTCACTCACTCACTCACTCACTCACTCACTCACTCACTCACTCACTCACTCACTCGCTCACTCACTCACTGAGTTATGCCCTCAGCAATTGAAAACATGGAAACGGATTATTCAAGGCGCCATGATAAGCATGAATAGATATCGATTTAGGAGTGTTTCCTTTGACCTCGCAGTTAGAGCCAGTTTAGACATGATAAAGCCCTAAGCTATATAACGCCCTGAGGCCCCAGCTGTCTTCATTTAAACCAGCTAATCTAATAGACTTTTAAATGTATAGATAACATACCGTTTTTTAATATATTTGTTTAAATAAATACACACAAAAACACAACATTCGGATACAAGGTATTAGAATAAATAAAACCATAGGATCATATATCCAAAGTAATAATAATATAATAAAACACTTTCAGGGGAGGGAAGGTGATGTGTAAACAAAAATAAAAATAAATTTGCACTTTTATGCCCTTGCAGATTTTGAGGTACTGAACTGAAGCTCATTCAGCTTTTACCTAAATCTAGTAATGGCTGGAGTGCATCTGCCTGAGAGGCAAGGAACGAACAGCCTGCATTCAAATAAACCAGATTTGTAAAACTGATGTGCACCCAAACTCAAGTTCTTGGTCGAGACGAAGGAGTGGACGAACACCCAGAGCTTTTCGCCGGAGTTTGAAGCCGGTGAGGGCTAAAAAGAAGAAGAAGCAGACTGACTTACTCTGCAGCCAGTAGCGGTTGCAGCTCCTTCGAAGCACCGATGCAGCAATTCTCCCAGGATCTTCATCTCTGATGGTTTGGGTACCTTTAGAAGGAACTCCATGCAGGCCTTCTGCGGCATGATATCCGGCTGTCTTCCTCCTTCTGAAATGACGCCTGTATAAAAAAAAAAAGGTCATATAAGTGAGTGAGTGAGCGAGTAGGGTAAGTAAACGAAACTGTTAATGATATGCAGTAGAACTTCGATTATCTGTCATTCGTTTAGTTGTCAGTTTTTGTTATCCTCCATCGTCTTTAAAATCAAAAGTGCACGAGTATCAACAAATAGATATCTTTTTTTTTCGGCTCGCTATTATGGATATGGCAACCCTTCGGCCTTGATTCCATGAAAGATACCGTGAATCTGGGAGAAATGTGGCTTTTCTGCCTACCCCTGGACGTGAACCCGGCCCACAAGGAGTTCGTCACCCAGTCACTGCTTAGTCCGGTTTAGCCTGCTAAGCTAGCGAGCCGGGCTACAGATATCTTTAAAACAGATTACTTTTGCAAGCTACCGTTTAAAGCTGAAAGTGGCCGCACTGTGTGATGGCTGAACTGACTAACTGTCGGCGGTGGAGGAGTTGAGCTTCATCCGGCTAGCCACAAACCCATTACTGACCAGTCTCTGTTGCGTTATATACTGGTCTCACTTGTAACATTTATGTACATTAGTATTCTTATACTGAAGTTTATATTGATCGCTTTGTAAAATTAAATATCACATGTGCGTATCATTCATTTTTAAGGATTTTATTTTCATTGTCGGCCGAAGTTCCCAATGAAATCACGTTATGTACATATGTATAAGAAATTTATGTTATCGGTCTGTTCAGTTATCTGTCACGACAATTAACGCCTAGATGATCTGATACCATCTATACAGATGGTTGGGTGCTGAGAGGAAAGAGAAGTGCCTGGGGATTCGTAGCGGAAGCCAATGGAAAATCTTTAGTGCAAGACAGCCTAGCATATGACACCACAACATCTAGCATGGGAATGGAGGTGGAGGTGGTAACTACAGCTCTCTGGTGGCTACAGAACAAAATGCATACACGTGTCGTAATTGTAACAGACTCTAAAAGCATGCTGAGAAAGGTGAAGACAGGGATGACTCGAGCAGAGTGGCTATCTTCACCGGAAAGGTGGGGATGACTCAAGCAGAGTGGCTATCTTCACCGGAAAGGTCATGGGTAGTGAGCATACTTTGGATCTTTTCTCCAGGCTATTCCGGCGTGGTGGGTAATGAACAGGCAGACAGACTGGTTGGATCTGTACCACTACGTGGTGAATTGATTCATGACAAGGCAGATGTGGTCAAGGCCCTTTGGGAACAAGCAACGGAATCATTAGAGAAAGAAGATTGTTATGGCCTGGAGAGAACGAGGCACCTGGGTGTAACCAGAGAGTCTGGCCGGCTGACTACACTCAGAAAAAAAGGCAAGACGGAAATTTAACCAGATTGTGACCGGTACAACCAGTATTGGAACTCTGCGCTGGCTGTTAAAGATGAGGACGGAGCACGCATGGTAATGCCCCGAGTGTTGTGATGTTTTTCAAGTGTTAAAAGCGCTGGCATGCTGAAATATACAAAATGCGAAATCAACGGCATTACGAAACACACCTGTAACCTTGTGCCAAAGTGACAGGTTCATGAACTACCAATCAGAAAGGAGCTAGTGTGTATATGGGCGGGGCGTGGGAAGATCAACGTTACTTTTACCACTTTTGTGTTGCATTTATGCTTCCTCAGACTGATTAGTATCATCCCCTAGTGCTTCTCTGCGACCGACAACACAAAGTGAGGCTTTCGATTGCTGTTCTACTTAAAGCATTTGAATGCCCCACTCTCTAGCGTAGTTTGCTAAACCGGATTGCGCAGTGACCGGGTGACGAACTCCTTGGGGTCCGGGTTCACTCCCAGGGGTAGGCAGAAAAGCCACATTTCTCCCAGATTTATGGTATTTATCATGGAATCAAGGCCGAAAGGTTGCGATATCCATAGGACCGAGCCTAAGGGTTAACAACTCATGGCTTCTGGATACTAAAACAAACAAGCATTTGAAAGCGGAAATTTGCCGAAGCCTACTACTCGTAAAAGTCAAAAGCAACCCTAAAATTTTCAATACACTTCTGTATAAGCATAGAGAATAATTACACAAAGACAGTCTTCATCAAAACTGGGTACAATATCTTCCTATGACAGTCCTCTATGCACGTGAAACAGAAAAACAACTCACCGATAACCATGTTAATGACGTGCAATTTTGTTCGCTGGCAAATAATTCACATTTTGAATTTTTTTTTTTTTTTTAGAACCTCCAAGCAACCAAACAGGTAAAGTAAACACTTGAACTGCCCCCCTAACAAGCAGATGGTAGGAAGTCTTCCTTCAAAGTGGGAGTGCACTTGCCTGAGAACCGAGGAATCAGCAGTCTGCATACAGATAAACCAGATCTGTAAAACGAAAGTGCACGCAAAACTCAGCATCTGGAACAAGACTAGAGTCTAGAAGTGGTCGAACCACCAGAACTTGCCGCTGGACTTAACAGCCAGTGAAGGCGAAGAAGAAAAAGAAGGGCATGCGGGAAACGAATGATAAACGTGTACCTTTGACAACCCATGAAGATTTAAACTGTTGTCTGATTGCAGCAACATTCTGGTAGGCCAGCACCACAGCGTTGACTGGGTTGGCCACTTCCCAGGGTCGGTCTCCGTCAATCCGGTTCCGGCCTCGGAAAGTCACCCTGTGTCTGTAATTGAAAGTATTTCATCCTTAAGAGGCGGGGAGTTACCTTGTGTTTGTTATTCAAAACATTCTGCACCACTGGGTGGTGAATTGATACATGAAAAGACAGATGTGGTTAATGCCCTTTGGGAACAAGCAACGCAATCAGTAGAGAAAGAAGATTATTATGGCCTGGAGAGAATGAGGCCACCTGAGTGTAACCAGAGGGTCTGGCCGGCTTACTACACTCAGAAGAAAGGCAAGACGGACTTATAACCAGATTGTGACCGGTACCATCAGTATCGGAACTTTGCGCTGGCTGCTGAAGATGAGGACGGAGCATGCATGGGAATGCCCTGAGGGCTGTGATGTCAGTTATTGACTCAACTTAGCTCAGCTGTTTTTTAAAACATCTAAGTCCTCCAGGAGATAAAATGTCACCTTGTGTCTGTAATTGAAAATATTCAGTCCACAAGAGGCGGAGAGTTGCTTTGTGTTTGTTATTTCTTCTTCTTCTTCGCGTTCACCAGCTGTACACTCTGGCGGAAAGTTCTGGTTGCTCGTCCACTACTGAACTGCAGTCCTGCTCCAGAACCTGAGTGTTGCGTGTGCATCAGTTTTACAGATCTCATTCTATTGAATACAGACTGTTGGTTCCTTGCCTCTCCGGCAGATGCACTCCGACTTCAAAGGAAGCTCCCCAATTAGTCAACTCTTACGACATGCTTTTTGGGGAGGCAGTGGGTCTATTCTTGTTTTCCTCACAATGGGGCCCCGGAACCCACAAAACATTAGGTCTTCACAGAGAGAAAATGTTACCTTGCATCTATTTAAAATATTCCATCCACAAGTAGCGAAAAATCAAATTTCGTCTATGACTGAAAATATTAAACACCTACAAGAACTGCCCATTTGATATCTGCAAAGTAGATAAGTTTTTTTGTGTCGATTATTGCAGTGGTAAATTTGGGTCTGTTATTGAAAAAATGCACTCCATCGGATGCAAAACGTTATTGCAAAAGCGAAAAGTTATCTTGTGTCTGTTATTGCAAAAGTGAAAACATAACTCTATTAAGGTCAACAAGTTATCTTGAGTCTGTTATGAAAAACATTAACTCCGACTGGCAAAACCAATTGTCTTGTGTCTGTTTATGAAAACACACGGCCTTCTCTAATAAATAGAGAAGGCGGTGTCAAAACATTACACTAGTTAGGGAATGAAGTTACGTTATGTACATAATTAAAAACACTATTTTAAAACGAAATGTTCATTTGTGTTCAATATTTAAAAAAAAATTTGTTTTCCAAAAACAAAGTTATCTTGCGTTTATAAACAAAGAAAAAAGTCATAATGTTTATATTTTGCAAAACACGGCCCATCCAGAAACGATGAGGTTGAATAATGAACAAGCACAGAGGTCTTAGAACACTGTCAATAGGAGGAAGACTGATGCAAATTAAAATTGAATTAAAGACGGTTGAAATGTTTCGTTCATACTAAAAAACATGGCATTAGTGAAGGTAACAGTCGAAGGAGGCCGAGCAAGGGATGAACAATGAGACGTTTGCCTTGTGCTCAGAAGGTCACTGGTTCGTTCATACTAAAAGACGTGGCACTAGTGAAGGTCACAGTCGAAGGAGGCCGAGCAAGGGATGAACAATGAGACGTTTGCCTTGCGCTATAAAGGTCGCTGGTTCGTTTCACGACGTTCGTCGTTCTGTTCAAGTATGCTATTCTTACGGATAGCCCTGAGAAAAAAAAAAAAAAAACTCTATGCTATCAGTGTCAAACATGGACACTATCTTCAGAAAACAAACGGAAAATAGTCATGAGGGAAATAAAAATGTTTTTTACAATGCTAGGTGTGAGGAGGAACGATCGGTTTAGAAATGATGATACCAGGAGGAGAGAGTCGGCACAGAATCAACACTGAAATTTATCTGTCGACAGCAGACCTAGTGGTCTGGCCATGTAAACAGATTGACACCAGACAGTGCACCACAGAGAGCAATATTATACAAACACAGCGGTAATAGACCGAACCAGAGGTCGACCACGCAGAATATGGACTGCAGAAATATCAAAGACACTGAAAAGTACTATATACGAAGCAAAAACAAGGGCCTGTTCTAGAGATCTCTTTCTGTGCCGACGCAGCGAGGCATTAAATGAAAAGAGAAAAGAAAGATAAGAAGAAGAAAAAGAAGACCCCTGGTGATCGTTGCTGGATCCACGGTGTTCGAGCTTAGTGCGACCCTCTCGAGGGGCGGCCAACCCTTCTGCGGAGAGAGACCGAGCCATCTGGGATCAAACCCGGAGCACTGAAGTCGATCCTCTCGACTTTAACCAGTTAAAAAGCTTGAAGACAACACCAAGGGATGGACCGCAAGCAGCCTGACAGTACAAAAAATACGAAGGCAGACAGAAAGTTTCAAAAAGTTACTGCAGCCAGGGCTATATTTTGACTTGATGAGGTCCTGAGCCACACACAAAAAGTCCTGAAGCCCCTACAGTTTGAATTACCCCAGCAAATCTCAGAATCCGTACTTCAAGAGCTGAATATTGAAAGAGGTTGGCTATTAAAGACGATAAAACAGAGAAAACTGAAACATGTTGGTCACTTAAAACCTCACGAAAGTTTAGAGACAACAGTCATGGAGGATATATGCCTGGGAAGAGAGGAAGAGGAAGGCCGAGGAGAAGATGGGTGCAGGATATGGCGGATGATCTCCAGATGGGTGTGTTGGACCTGGGACATCTTGCTTGTGTTTGAAAAGTTTTCAGGCGGGTTTTATGGGAAGAAGGACATGCTACTAACAGAATGAATCTCAGACAACTTTGAAATATTTACGACTTTTAAATTTATAGAATATATACGCTATTTTATTCAAAGTAAGCCCCTTGTGTATTGATACAGCGAGTGGCACGATGTAACAAACGCTGGAACGACCACTGTATTTCTTCTATCGTTATGGCCCTTAAAGTCGATGTTTCGGCCCTATGGATGCCATCAATATTGACAAAGAAGCGCCCTTTCAATGGCAACTTTAATTTTGGGAATAAAAAATAGTCACAGGGAGACAAATCTGGGGAACAGGGTGGATGGTTGAGAACCCGCATCTGTTTTGGGGCCTAAAATTACTGTACAACTACTGCCTCTTGAGCTGGTGCATTGAATGAAAAAGGCAAAAATTGCCAGGTGTTGAATATAAACTGACAAGCAACATTTTTCTTGCCCAAACCTTTCACTAAAATGTTACGAATATTATCTGTATTAAGATCAAATTCATCTACCATCATCTTCACAGTCAAACAACGATCTTCTTGTATCCGTTCTCGGAATTTTGCAATGAGTTTCCCATTACGAACATAAGTTAGGTGTCCAGGTTTAATTGCATTAGTAATCATTTCCACATTATTTTTGAATCGCGAATACCAACTGAAAATCTGTGCACGAGATAAATAGTTATCCCCATAAACTTGTCACATTAATTAAGTTGTCGCAATGGCACTTTTTCTGAATTTTAAACATAATTTAATGTTAGTTTTCTTGCTTCGAGCTGATTACATAACAATGCACCCCTGATTAGGTTAACAAAATGGCGGCTTGTTTTTTGTCTGCTTATCGGGCGGCGGCTTCGTAATGCCGGGGTACCGGGTTCAATCCCAGCTGCGGGCCATACGCCTTGCGTAGGTTTCAACAGTGGTATCAGGGAGCTAACCGCCCAGAAAGCAATGGCAAACTACTGGACGTAAATTTGCCTAGTGAAACCACACAACAGCCTGGGGCTGATGGGGTTGGTTCTGCAACGTCCTGTAAAGGATACGCAACTAACCTGATCGGGCGGCGATGAAAAGTTGCCAGATCGTAGACGAAGGTTGCCTCTTTGGATTCCATGCTTTGATACACAGATGGCGTTTTTGTCTTGGCCATAATAAAATCAATCTCATTACTTAATTGTCGGACCTTGTATGGTAGGTATTTGCAAATTACCTGCAGTTATATTACTTAATCCTCTAAAAGACTCAAAGAATTGCAACTTTTGCATGTTTGAGAGAAAACATTTCTTAGGCCTCTGCAGATTTTGAGGCCTTAAGATGTGGATTATTTAGATGTTGCCTAAATCGGCACTATGTGCAGCGCACCGTCATTGTGTAGCTAGTATATATCTTAATGATAGATAGATAGATTGATTGATTGATTGATTGATTGATAATACAGTCACTGACAATCATCACATAATTGACCAGATCACTTACGTCTGGGAGCCAACAAAATTGGGCTGTACGTTGGTGTAGTTAGCGGGGTAGGCGACTAGGATGAAATCTAGCCCTTTGAAACCTCCTGCATCAAACATGGTGATCTTGCCCGTGTTTTCTGCGTCTCCAGGGCAACCGATGACGGTGATCTGTTGAAGATCCGAATAGAGAACTGTTAGCGTGCACACCAGGATGGCTTGTTTATTTATTATGGCTTTATTTCCTTTTGTTTGCTTATTTCCGTCTCCTTCTCCTCCTACTCCTCCTTCTTCTTCTTTTCCTTCCTCTTCTTCTTCTTCTTCTTCTTCTTCTTCTTCTTCTTCTTCTTCTTCTTCTTCTTCTTCTTCTTCTTCTTCTTCTTCTTCTTCTTCTTCTTCTTCTTCTTCTTCTTCTTCTTCTTCTTCTTCTTCTTCTTCTTCTTCTTCTTCTTCTTCTTCTTCTTCTTCTTCTTCTTCTTCTTCTTCTTCTTCTTCTTCTTCTTCTTCTTCTTCTTCTTCTTCTTCTTCTTCTTCTTCTTCTTCTTCTTCTTCTTCTTCTTCTTCTTTCAGGTAGAAGTAACGCATATTTCCCTTATATTTTTTTTTACAACTAGTGGCTTACTGTAGTTAAAAATGTGCACATTCAAATGATTGCATTGAATATTTTGATGCCATTGATAATGTTTACCATTACTTGACGTATGAATGAAATGATGTAAGAAAGGAAGAAGACTAGAAGGGCAGAATGTTAGACAGGCCTAGGTTTCCATCTCTTAACCTTTGAAAATACATTTTGTTCGTTCGTTCGTTCGTTCTTCTTCTTCTTTTGCCCGAATAAATGGTGGTTGTCGCGTTGTTGTGGTTTAAAGCTTGGCTGCAAAATCTATGTTTTTCGGCCAAAAGCATCCGATTTTAGCAAAAGGTTCAATTGACTGATTATTGCGACATGTTTGTTGGGGTCTAGCTTCTTTCCTCTCCCCACTCCCCCCCCCCCCCCCCCCCCCCCCCCCGAAAAAAAGACAGAAAACGATAAGGCTCCGAAAGCCGCAAGCTATTTCCTATTCAGGTTTAAACACAAACGTTTTGAATTCTGTATGGTGTATGTAAATGTCTTTGTGTCTGATTTCATGAGTAGAGCATAAGGACCTGTTCGTCAGAGAAGTCTGATTCTCAAAGCGAGCTCCTGGCACGAATCACATCCGAGAACGCATTCCACCAACCCGATCTAATCCACTCTGGTGTTTAGGATGAAAGCCAGCTTCAGGCCGGAATCAACCAACTCAAGTCCAGGAACATATCTTTCCATCCTGATCTACCTCCCTCTAGTGCTTTCAGATGAAAGCCAGCTTCAAGCAGGACAGGAACCAACCAACTCATCACCTTAAACACATCTTATCATCACGATCTACTCCCTCTAGTGCTTACAGATTACAGCTAGCTTCAAGCAGGAACCAACCAACTCATCACTTCAAACATATCTTATCATCGCGATCTACTCCCCTCTACGCGATCTACTCCCCTCTACAGTTCACAGATGATAGCTAGCTTCAAGCATGAACCAACCAACTCATCACCACTAACACATCTTACCATCCCCACAGACTCGTTAGCAAACTTGATAAATGTCTGAAGACCAAGAGCCGCCGTTATGGAGACCACCGTGGAGAGGTTGTGGCCCCGCGAGTGGTTTGTACTCTTGCCTGTGTCGTACTGGCACAAGAAACCGATGTTTGGATGTTCTCTGCTCTCCCCTTTCACGAACTCGGCTCTGAAATCGACATTAAGAGAATTTGTTTTCATGCTTTGTAAAAATTTAAAGTATGTAGCTGATCAGTTTCAGATCAATTTTGGTATTGGCCTTAACTTTTTCTTGACCAATCGGATTGAGGCATGTGGTCATCAGTATGCCATTCGCTTTTGCTTCCAATAGTATTTATTAGGCTGGGTTGTACTGGGAGTCAATTTCGAATGTACAAATTACATGTCGTTCGGGATTCGAACCCAAGACATGCAGGCCATCAGGCACGCATCTATAAATGTGTTTCTTTTCATTCATAGCTGAGCAGCCGCCAGCTCCACCCGTTTGATTCAGCAGTTGACAAGAACAGCAACGAATCCAGGTCATCTTGGTAAAGATTTCACAACGCGGAGTTCAGGACAAGCCCAGATCAACTCGTTGTGTTTCATCAACGGCCAGCGAAAAACTTCCGTACTGATGCTTGTGCCGATGTCATCTGTCCCCCCCCCCCCTTCCCCCTCTCTGCGCAGCAGCCCCCTACAGTGGCACCCACAGTCCAAAGACACCACCCCCAATCCCCGCATTATTCGTCCTAATTACGGGATTTCAATAGCAAAGAATAATAATACTCTTATCTATTGTACATGTCGTATTGCAGAGTTAATATGAGATTTATTAAACTGTTAATAACTGCCTTTATTACTACTACTCATGCAGTGTAGGCAGGGGGGTCTTTGAGCCTGGGGGTTTACGGCGGCATGTCTAGTGCTGTAGCGACACGACTGTACATGTGAGGTTTTATCTCGCTCCGACAGAAAAATCCTCAGCCTTACTGAGGACTGGAACCCAGGTCTACCGCTTGAGAGCCTAGCATTTTTCGGCCAGCCGCGCCTCATGAGATTAATTACCTCAATATAAGAAGAAAAGTCATCAAGGTGGCCACCAAGATTCTTCCTCTTCTTTTTCTGGGTTCACCTTTGAGAGGACGATTGGCACGTTGTATTGTAGTTTACATCTAGGCTGAGACATCTGCTCCTGTCGGCCCGGCACATGTGAATTCAGCAAGCTTTTAAACGTCGCCATCTACGACATATTTTTTAGGTGACTGTGGTACTATTTCCCCCTTCTTTTACCCAAAATGGGTCCTAGAACCCACTCGTGGAACTTAAAATTCTAAATCCTTTTTTCTTCTTCTATTTCCAAACCTGTAAGAGCTTTACTGCTCGCACACTTTCCTTGGAATGCTATCAAGCCTCAGTGCTGCACAGTCTATCAAATTAGAACCCACCATTTTCTTGTATTTCCTAGCTCTTCATGGAGATATCGTCAACATCATGTCGGCCTCCTTTACTTCCCGGGAGGCTTTCTGGGATCTACTGGGCTAAGTCGGTCTGGGAGACGTGGTCATAATGCTTGTAAAAGCACAGAAGACTCAGCGTAACAGGATAAAACCGTTGCTTGTATACAAGAGGGACACATTTTTTAAACAGAGGAATCGACATTCGACAAATTCTCGTAAGGGCCCGCTGCCCGTTGTGGGGTGGAAGGGAGGGGGGGGGGTGGAGAAGGAAAGGACGTATGTCCTAAAATTGACTAATTAGGGGGTGGGGGGGGGGGAATGGACTGCATCTAATTGATAGGCGAGGGAACAAAACTATAAAATAATACAAGAGTAAGTCCAAAATTCGACGAACAGCCAAAACATTTCAGTTTACAGCCGATCAACGCCAAGAAGCAGAACACAAAGACATTCGAAATGTGAAAGTAAAGGACCCTGTTCCATGCTTTTAGGCCAGGGAGCGAACCCACGACCTTCCGATCCACGGCGAGCGTCTAGCCGGTCCGCCATGGCGACTTCTTCTTCTTCTTCGCGTTCACCAGCTGTACACTCTGGCGGAAAGTTCTGGTTGCTCGTCCACTACTGAACTGCAGTCCTGCTCCAGAACCTGAGTGTTGCGTGTGCATCAGTTTTGAATACAGACTGTTGGTTCCGGCAGATGCACTCCGACTTCAAAGGAAGCTTCCCAATTAGTCGACTCTTACGATATGCTTTTGGGGAGGCAGTGGGTCTATTCTTGTTCTCCCCACAATGGGACCCCGGAACCCACACGGGGATCCCCCATTCAAAACGTAATGTGATCAAAATACTGCCGGCTGCCTTTACCTCTTAAAGCAGGGCTTTTTAAACTGGGGTCCCGCGAGCCCAGTCTGGTCAGCATAGTAAATGGCCCGCGAAACATTGCCAACTGTAATGTATTAGTGTGAGATCCACGATAATCTCCCACCAGCGGAACTACGTCGCGTTCGATTGATACATTTTGCTGTCCGGGGGCTTTGACTTGTCTTGCATTTTCGTTTTTCTTCCAAAAAATATAATTTCTGTGGCATAGGTTCCAGCACTCTCTAAGGGTTTTGTGGGTTAAACCCAGTTTGTAAATGTTTTTGTAGTGTTAACAGCGGCGGCGTGCTTAAATATACAACACACGATATGACCGGATTGCCAAACACCCTCCTAGCGGTATGCGAAAGGTCAGGGGAATGGAGGCCGACCAGTCAGAGGCGAGCTAGTGTGTACCGTGGGGAAAATATCGTAGATCATACCATGTATTAGTGACATTTATATGCTGGGGCTCGGCCTTTAGACCCGCGACGATCCTCATTTTTCAAAAGTTTTGTCCCTGGAGTAAATGTAGCTGAATGGCCCTGTCTAAGAGCATGTCCCGCAATTCACTTAAGTCTGCATCGATATGAGATCCACAGTGAAGTGAACTGTACAAATAACACACTATAGAACTAGCAACGAACTCATGTCCAGTTCCGCCCATTCACACACTAGGTTACCTTTCATTAATTCTTGGTCAGGCTAGTCCACGTAGCTCAAGGTTACAGGGGTGTCCTGGTCTAATGATGTAGATTGCACTTTCTCGTGGAGGCTAGGTTCAATGTGTAGAGGAAGGGGGGAATTGGAGTTACGGCCAGTTGTCATGTTATGGAGTCGTTAGAGCGCTCCCGTCTTCTAATATTGAGCTCGCATGGTCACTGGTAGGAGCGTCGACAAAGCTGACGTCTCTGCCACTTACATTTAGTGATCGCACAGGTTAAGGAGGAGACTGAATGTCCATTCATAGGGTCCTGACCTGACTCCGTCAATCACAAATGTGTAGATGGGAGGAACTGGGCCTGAGTTCGTTACATGTAACCACAATACAACCAGGGTGTGAAACCGCATTCATATTCGCATAGCCAACATTAACAGTGACACAATTACACTCTTTCTGTGAAGAGTTAGCCTTACTTGAATGCCGTAGGCATGCCCATGTAGCGCTGCTTGACCTTGAATCCTTTCTTTCTCAGGAAATCCACCAGCAGGTCATGACTTTTAACCTCCTTCCCGGGTGGCTCGCTATATCGCCATAGATCTTCAGCTGTGTGCACATTTTTGCAACAGTTATGTACATTTATTACACCGTTTTAACAAATGTGGTTGTAGTAACGTTTTCCGGCCCAGAATGAGAGTGACTTTCCTTCCCATTCATGCCTCGTCGAGTCGCAGGCTCTGCCCTATGTTGCGGGGATGTCACGCTTAGTGACTAGCCACACCACATAGTATTTTACTCGTTGTTGTCACAAACCGTATCACATGTTCTATATTCCACGATGTTATTCTTTCCAACGGTCCCAAAACATGTAGAGCTGGCTCTAACCCCCAACCACCCACCCCTACCCCAGTCTCAGCCTACGTCCCACGAGCGAGTGCAGCCTAGGTCCCACAACTGCATGCAGCCTATCTACCACCCTCTGAAATATTAGACTGTCCCGTGACCTGTGGATTTCCCCTGTTAAGGTAGGATATTATGAAAGCACCCAACTTTCTTCACTATCCTGAGCAAAGGAGGGCAATTAAATCTAGTCTTCTATAAATCAGGAATTCACCAATTAAAATGTTCTTGAGGACTCTATCCACCTCTATTCTCCATGTGTGTCCTAACCGTCTGCTTTCTTGATCAATTGATCGATCATTTTGTTACTACCCGACTGCTATCTATAGGTGCTATCCTGAGATTTAAAAATGTTAGTATGGAAGACAGACCAACAAAGTAGATTTATGATACCCTGTTCAACCTCTGAAGGAATTATAATATAAATAATGCATCCTAACGGCAACACAATCAGGAGTAACCTTCAGGCGTATGCTGGTAAGGGCAGTGCACTTGAAGACCAAGCACTGAGAAAACTTGCATTTTCTGCTGTTGTCAGTATCTCAGTGTTTATGGCCATCATCAACTCTAAGAGATGTAGCATGGAATACATCGGTGAAACGGGTCTACGAATGGTTGACAGGTTCAGAAAACATCTTTTGGATGTGCAGTAAGGTGCCCTGAAACCAGTACCGGTGCATTTCAATTCTCAGCATCACCTAGGTGTCTACGATATGGAGGTGACAGCTATTACATCTAGCAACTCCAGCGACAGAGCCGCAAGTCTCTTGAAAATCTCTTTACTCCCAATCTGGGGATTTTAACACCCAGGGGACTGAACTGTCAACATAGTTTCATGTAAAATTCTCAAGTTAGGGCCCTTGGCATTTCACGGCTATTTACTCTCCTGTTGAGTATGTCCTTTTCATTGTAATGGCAAGACATCCATATGGCTGCATCCGGATACGTGAATTGAGAGATTCTTTATAATCGTATGGTTTTGTTTTATTTATGTATGTTCTGACAAAGGCTCTATCTCTGCAACATTCACGTCTTGTATATGTTTGTTACCTTGTGGAGCTCGCTGATATACTTGTCGTTTGATTATATTTCTTTCTCCAATGTTGATGATCGTGTCTTGCCACTTAATGTAAAGTACTTTTCTAAGGCATCGCACGTGAAATATATTGTAGGTTCTCTTTAAATAAATAAGCGGACCAAGTTTCCTTATTGTTGGGTGCAGAGAGCGACCGCTTGGTAGATTAGGGTTGTTATTTAAAACTGTGAGCTTTCTGTTCTCCCAAAATCTTTTTGTTAATTTGCGCATTGCTGTTGTTCTGTCTATCCTGATATCGATTTCGTGGTCCAGTGATAGTGTTTTAATGATAAGACATATATTTTGAATTGTATGAACGGCGAACTGGCTTTACACGAAGCATCATGACTCGAGAACTGAAATATTTCCCCTATTTTAATCGTCGCACTGGTTTGCAAATAACAAGTTAGAAAGGCTTGTTTCCTAGATAAAGAGACAGTAGTCGACCAACTCCAAGATGGACACACATAAAATACAATCATTCTTGACACAACAAAGTTCAACCAAGATGGACACTTAAAAAAAAAATATTATCTAGAAACCTTGAGTTGTAAAAGCTTTGGTTTGGTACTATGGATATCGCAACCCTTCAGCCTTGATTCAATGATAGATACCGTAAATCTGGAAAATATGTAGTTTTTTTTGCTACCCCCGAGCGTGAACTCGGATCACAAGGAGTATGTCACCCGGTCGCCGCGCAGCTGCTTTAATCAACTTAGCTAGTCATTCAAGCGACAATAGATTAATGCAGGGTAATTTGGGAAAATACCATGAATATTCCTAAAACGCGTGTCACGAGAGCTACGTTCTGCAAAGGACGTGCTATCTGGTAAAGGTGATTATTGCGCAAGCTTCAGACTGCTGTTAACTCTTTCTGTGCCAACTGAGTTTATTCTGTAATCGGTACTCTTTTGATAGGTAAAGTTAAAACACCATATGCTACTCGATGGATTATATGGCCAACATCTCACTGACTGCTTTTACTTCCCCCTAAATTTTCTTAAGTTTTTAAAAAAAATACTTGGTCGACCTCGGAGCCCAGGGCATCTATTTCAGACATCTACATTTGTAGAGTAAACACTTACCAATTCTGTTAAGCTCATGTTGCTGCTGCTCTATGGCAGTGAATGCAATCTTCTTCTCAGATGATAGGATGTACGGTTCCTTTTCTTTCATGAGGGCAGTCTATCCACAGCCGATTTTCAAACAAGCAAGGTTGTCTGTCGACTTATCGATTCTGGTTGGCGTCAGAAGCTACTGAAGGTAAAATACCAGCGTAAATCAATCAGTCTCTGCTTACCTTATTTCTACATATTGGATCCTTCTCTAGACTCCGGGTTCTCAATTTTTTTTTTCCGCGTGGCACCCTTGTGGGGATTTTAAAAAAAAAAATCGCGGGACACCTACACTCAAAGCGGTTGAAAAAATAGGGGAAGAAGACGAAAAAAGCCGTGCAGATTTAATGCTCAGTTGACTTTAATGCAGTTGATGAAACTATTAGGATACCCCACGGCATCCAGTTTGAAAACCCCTGCTCTAGAGCAGGGATTTGCGACCTTTCATTTTAACCGTACTAAGAGTAATTTTGATGTTGATAACATCATTTACGGACGGCAAAAAATGATCAACCTGAAACAGTAGCCTGCTGTATTTAGTCGAATATGTCTAGCACTGTAAGGTGCGGTCACGCCTGACACTACAGCTAGCAATGTTGGGAACAGCCAGCGCCCCTTGGAGGCTAAACAGTGAAAATAATTAGCCTACTACTGACCCGTGATTTTACAAGGCAATACCACCTCCCAGGGGTGCAGGCTGGTCATTGTATCAATGAGGATTTGGGCTAACCGGTCTTTGCTCCATTATGGAGTAAAGGATTGAAGAATAATAAAAGAGGAAAGTGGGGTCTTTAACTGCTTCTCTATGGTAATGTTTGTGATTTTTACTGGATCGATTAATGCTTCTACGGTTTCAGGGGAGCCTCAACCAGCCCTCATTTTGTTTTTTAAGTGCTGTGGGACTTAGGGGCCTACGTTTTGAAGAAGAAGAAGAAGAAGAAGAAGAAGAAGAAGAAGAAGAAGAAGAAGAAGAAGAAGAAGAAGAAGAAGAAGAAGAAGAAGAAGAAGAAGAAGAAGAAGAAGAAGAAGAAAGAAGAAGAAGAAAGAAGAAGAAGAAGAAGAAGAGAAGAAGAAGAAGAAGAAGAAGAAGAAGAAGAAGAAGAAGAAGAAGAAGAAGAAGAAGAAGAAGAAGAAGAAGAAGAAGAAGAAGAAGAAGAAGAAGAAGAAGAAGAAGAAGAAGAAGAAGAAGAAGAAGAAGAAGAAGAAGAAGAAGAAGAAGAAGAAGAAGAAGAAGATGATGATGAAGAACAAGAACAAGAACAAGAAGATGAACAAAGACAAACCATGATAATTATAACGTTAATCAGAGGCAGAGCCCTTCTCTTTCTTATCTGAATAGTATTCTACTGGGGCCGTATTTTCACCCCACCAAGCAAAAATCTTTACTAGCAAGAGAACATTCTCCCGCACTGATTGATCTGCACTCACATCAGTAGATTAAGTTGGCGTCAAGAGTTCCCAACAATTTACAGCATTTAACACTTTCTATATTTTCTCTATTTGTGCAATTGAGAGAACCACATCTAGGAAAGGGTAAAGCAAAATAATACACAATGCAAGTTTGTAAGAAAAAGCAGGCAAAACTGTATCGACAAACGACTCAGTGGATGTTTCTGTAAGATCGAAAAAAAAAGCAGGCAAACTGTATCGACAAACGACTCAGTGGAGTTTCTGTATGATCGAAAAAAGCAGACAAACTGTATCGACAAACGACTCAGTGGAGTTTCCGTAAGATCGAAAAAGCAGGCAAACTGTATCGACAAAACGACTCAGTGGAGTTTCTGTAAGATCGAAAAAAGCAGGCAAACTGTATCGACAAACGACTCAGTGGAGTTTCTGTAAGATCGAAAAAAGCAGGCAAACTGTATCGACAAACGACTCAGTGGAGTTTTCTGTAAGTAGATCGAAAAAAGCAGGCAAACTGTATCGACAAACGACTCAGTGGAGTTTCTGTAAGATCGAAAAAGCAGGCAAACTGTATCGAAAAACGACTCAGTGGAGTTTCTGTAAGATCGAAAAAGCAGGCAAACTGTATCGACAAACGACTCAGTGGAGTTTCTGTAAGATCGAGCAGGCAAACTGTATCGAACAAACGACTCAGTGGAGTTTCTGTAAGATCGAAAAAAGCAGGCAAACTGTATCGACAAACGACTCAGTGGAGTTTCTGTAAGATCGGAAAAAGCAGGCAAACTGTATCGACAAACGACTCAGTGGAGTTTCCGTAAGATCGAAAAAGCAGGCAAACTGTATCGACAAACGACTCAGTGGAGTTTCTGTAAGATCGAAAAAAAGCAGGCAAACTGTATCGACAAACGACTCAGTGGAGTTTTCTGTAAGATCGAAAAAAGCAGGCAAACTGTATCGACAAACGACTCAGTGGAGTTTCCGTAAGATCGAAAAAGCAGGCAAACTGTATCGACAAACGACTCAGTGGAGTTTCTGTAAGATCGAAAAAAGCAGGCAAACTGTATCGACAAACGACTCAGTGGAGTTTCTGTAAGATCGAAAAAGCAGGCAAACTGTATCGACAAACGACTCAGTGGAGTTTCTGTAAGATCGAAAAAAGCAGGCAAACTGTATCGACAAACGACTCAGTGGAGTTTCCGTAAGATCGAAAAAGCAGGCAAACTGTATCGACAAACGACTCAGTGGAGTTTCTGTAAGATCGAAAAAGCAGGCAAACTGTATCGACAAACGACTCAGCGGAGTTTCTGTAAGATCGAAAAAAGCAGGCAAACTGTATCGACAAACGACTCAGTGGAGTTTCTGTAAGATCGAAAAAAGCAGGCAAACTGTATCGACAAACGACTCAGTGGAGTTTCCGTAAGATCGAAAAAGCAGGCAAACTGTATCGACAAACGACTCAGTGGAGTTTCTGTAAGATCGAAAAAAGCAAGCAAACTGTATCGACAAACGACTCAGTGGAGTTTCTGTAAGATCGAAAAAAGCAGGCAAACTGTATCGACAAACGACTCAGTGGAGTTTCCGTAAGATCGAAAAAGCAGGCAAACTGTATCGACACACGACTCAGTGGAGTTTCTGTAAGATCGAAAAAGCAGGCAAACTGTATCGACAAACGACTCAGTGGAGTTTCTGTAAGATCGAAAAAGCAGGCAAACTGTATCGACAAACGACTCAGTGGAGTTTCTGTAAGATCGAAAAAAGCAGGCAAACTATATCGACAAACGACTCAGTGGAGTTTCTGTAAGATCGAAAAAAGCAGGCAAACTGTATCGACAAACGACTCAGTGGAGTTTCCGTAAGATCGAAAAAGCAGGCAAACTGTATCGACAAACGACTCAGTGGAGTTTCCGTAAGATCGAAAAAGCAGGCAAACTGTATCGACAAACGACTCAGTGGAGTTTCTGTAAGATCGAAAAAGCAGGCAAACTGTATCGACAAACGACTCAGTGGAGTTTCTGTAAGATCGAAAAAAGCAGGCAAACTGTATCGACAAACGACTCAGTGGAGTTTCTGTAAGATCGAAAAGCCTCAGCGAACCTGGCTTCACCGATGAAATACTGCGACATTGCAGACAGCATGGAATGCAGCTTGTAAAGTAATGTCTAACCATCGTTTCAGGATGTGACGTCACTGTGCAGACAGCAAAATCTATGTCGTCATTTGAAAAATATTAACTCCTATCATAATGCAACTTCTTCTTCTTCTTCTCCACTTCCTTTTTTACCCATCGAGTGTCGGGAGAAATATAAGGTTCTGCTTCTTTCTCTTCCAGCTAACTCGCATAGACACAATGTACCGTGTACTTTCTCTTATGTTTTCTTTCCATCTAGTTCTTGGTCTGTCTTATGCTCTACATTTCTCCCCGCCTTTTGCATATACCATATATGGTATGGTGTCACAAAGCCTTCTCTCTAGTTGGCAAACCATTGTATCTGCTTCATTTGCACATGATGTAGAGTTGGTTATATGCTGACTTTTGATCTTAAGGCTTCATTCTTGATTTTAATCTGTTCTAACCACTTCCGCTGCCTTTCTCATTTTGGTATTTCCAAGATTACTAATTTCCTTGTTTGATTTGTTGCGAGTGACCATGCCTCGTACTGGTAGCCTAAGATGGGCATGAATATGCTTTTAGATGTTTGTGATGACTGGGATTGACTTACGTCACAGGAAAAAAGCGTGGGCAGGAAGGGATGGGAGGGGGGGGGGGGGTGATAGCTGTCTCAATACTTATAATGTACCACATTCCTTAAAAAAAACTTTATTACCACACAGATTTTTGAAAACAATGTCTACCCTTAACTTGCTTACTTTCCTGGCGTAATTTTTTGCAGACGTCCCACTACTAAACCACGCCGTCACACTTATGCACAACGCCGTCACACACTTCTGAATTAGGCCGTCACACACATCTGAACCACACAGTAACACTTCTGAACTATCCCGTCACACACTTCTGAACCATGCTGTCACACTTCTGAACAACGCCATCACACATTTCTGAACCACGCCGTCACACTTCTGAACTACCCCGTCACACACTTCTGAACCACGCCGTCACAAACTTCTGAACTACCCCGTCACACACTTCTGAACTACCCCGTCACACGCTTCTGAACCACGCGGTCACACACTTCTGAACAACGCCGTCACACACCTCTTTAACCACACCGTTACACTTCTGAACCACGCCGTCGCACACTTCTGAACTAACCCGTCACACGCTTCTGAACTACCCCGTCACACACTTCTGAACTACCCCGTCACACACTTCTGAACAACGCCGTCACACTACTGAACCACGCCGTCACACTTCTGAACCACGCCGTCACACTTCTAAACTACCCCGTCACACACTTCTGAACAACGCCGTCACACTTCTGAACCACGCAGTCACACACTTCTGAACCACACCGTTACACTTCTGAAACATGCCGAGCCTTGATCTCATGACTAGTCCTCTTTTTCTGTGTTCACTGGCTGTAAACTCCTGCAGAAAGTCTGGTGGTTCGTCCACATTTACCGAAATGTGCTGCGATATCATTGACATCGCATGTTGTATATTTCAGCACGCATCGGCCGGAAAGCTCCAAAAAC